GAAGCCTCCCTGCAAACACACACACACACACACACACACGCACACGCACACACACACACGCTCTCAGAAGCAGGAGGCAGCCCCAAGCCTCCTCCAACAACACACAGTCTCTAACTGCTGGGGCGAAACAGCTAAAAAGAAGCAACTTCATTGCCACCTACAGTTAGCAATTTGAATTTCCTGCCTTTTCCCCCTGCCTTTTCCTGTTCATAAGTGGAAGCTCCAGTCGCAAGTAGAAACAAAATTTTGCTCTTTCATGTAAATGTAAGCAAGATGACTGAATGATCAAAATCAATGTCAAAATGGCCAAAACATTCAATTTCAGTGGGGGTTGAATAATTTTGAACACAACTGTAGCTTCCTTATGCGATGAGGAAAAACAAAGATGGCATTATAGTCATTCATTATTATTAGGCAGGAGGCTTCCTCCTGTTGCACTAAAAGATTTAGCATTGTAAAAATCCAGTTACTGTATAAAAATCCATGCATCTAATATGGTGGAGTCAAGGTTTGATACCTTATCTGTTTAAGAGTGTTGGAACAATTATACAGGTATAGAAAATTGCCCTAAAAATATAGTATTTTAAAACTTTCAGCATGGAAATATTGTTCCAATATACGCCAGCAAACCAAGGTCAATGAGACTCTAACAGTTCTTTGGCAACCATCTATTTAGTCCCCCCCCCAATATACAGTGGTCCCTCAACTTATGAAATTAACCCTTATTGGAACAGTGGCTGCAACTCGAATCACCATTCCCCATAGGAACACATTGAAAACCATTTAATCCGTTTCAGCTGTTTTTGGTTCTTATGTAGTGGCGCTGTTCTTAAGTCAAAGCATTAGTTCCCATAGGAATTAATGCAAAACCGGTTAATCTGTACTCTACCACTAGGGGGAGAATTTTTCTTCTTTTGAGCTAAGATGAACTTAGGTAAAAAAAGGACAGGAAAGGAGGAGGGAGGGAACACCTTCTAAACAGAACACCTTTTAACTCAAGCACCTTTTAGGTTAAAAAAGGGCAGGAGAACACACTTTAAACAGAACCCCTTTAAAAACA